GGGAACGAGCGATCCGCACGGAAAGTGGCAGGGGGGAACGAGGGGATCGTGTGCCGACATATTGAGACATTTTCTATCATCGCGCCTTTGCGTGTACATCAACTCCACCGACACGACGGACGAAAAGTGTCTCAAAACGAGGAGTAGGATCCGCAAGGAGCAAAATCCGCAAGGAGCAAAAAATCCGCAAGGAGCAAAATCCGCGAGGATATTAGATATTTCTCTTTCTTTTCTTTTTCCTTCCGTGAGAGCCGACAGAGAGCGGCTCCGTCGAAATGAAAAGGCTCGGCGATGAATCACTATCACTATTAGAATTTCAAAGTATCCGGTTAATGACGGCTAATTAATGAGAGGGGGAAAATATTGTGGACCTGGTAATGACTTAATTGTCCTCCTTTAATCAGTGTCCGGACTCTGTCTTCACCCCATCCATCCTTCCTTCCTGTCTCGGCCGACCCAGACCGTGATTTTCCCCGACTCTTTTTTTTAAAATTTATTTCATTTGCTTCGTTTTCATATCGAACGTATTAGATAAATTTTCCCGAAAATTTCTCGAATTTCGATTCGGAACATGCCTCCTTCGAATCGCTTTCCCCGCTCCGTTAAACGTTTCTAATACGGAATAAATGATTTAAGGGATGGGGGTGGAGGGTGTGGGTCGGGAGGGGGAAGCAGCTGGCCGCGGCGACCGGGAATGGCGTCGTATAAACAAGCTTCACCTGGCCCCAACAAGGGGAACCAGGGACCGAGGTTCAAACGCCTGCAAATAAATGATGGTAATCGTTAAGGAAAACGTTGGTACGCGTGACAAAATTTATCGTTTTGGGGATGGGGTTTTGGACCGTCTAGGAACCCTGCTTCTATTTCGGACTATTTTTTGGCGATGGGCCGGATTTCGCGAGAACGCGTCCAATTTTTTTTTTCCATTGATTTCGAAATTCGAAAATCGGGGAAAAAAATTTTCATTAAGGAAATAAATAAACCAAAGGAATAAAGACACTACGAATGTTAAATGATCGATAATGAGAAGTTTCAAAGTGGAAAAACAAACAAGGAGGTGATGCATGAAGACGTGCAGCTGCGACCCGATCGATCATCGAAGGATCGATCAAGGATCGCCAGGGTTCCCATCAACATGATGGAGCATCCACGGAGGTGGAGAAAAAAAAAAAAAAAAAAGAGCCGCCCGCCCGGCTTTGACCGATGAGGACAAAGAAAGAAAGAAAGAGAAAAAAAAATTGGGATGAACGGGAATTTATCTCTCGGTGTCACCTCGAGGTAATCTTATTTATATCCCGCCAAAATAATAATATAATAAATATAGCGCCTCGCGCGAAATCGTCATCGGGCCGGATTTCCGACGCCGATTAAAGTTCGCGATTTCGGGTCCCACGGTGCCTCGAACGGAATTCTGGTGCCGCGGCCGCGGATTCCGGTCGGTTTCCGGACGAAGTTTCCGGCCGCTTCGTTCCGGATCTCCCCGGATCTCGAAGGAGGGGAATCCGGGATCGGGGACGCGAAATAAAAGTCGGGGTGAAATCTCGGCTCCGTTCATTAAGAGATAGGGGGGTGTCGGCAGGGGGTCGAAAGGAAGATTGGCAGGAATTAATAATGAGACTTCGGTAGCGAATCCCCTATCTCCCTAATGAGGTGAACTCCGGGTCATCATCCCCGGAGGGGAATTTTATCCCCTCTTTTTCTTTTCCCTTTGCCCGAGTCCCCGCAAAAAGGGGAGAGGCGGCAGAGCAAAAATACTGGATATGTAGTTTTTCATCTTTCTAAAAGAAAAAAAGGGGGGGGGGGGGAAAGGGGCCAAAGCTGGTTGTGTGGAGTATGCAAACGCGTATGCAAAGCGGAGACGAACCGCATGACAGAGCGCGAGCGTGAGGGCACTACGTCGGCATGGACGCCCTCGTGCCGTGCCAAGCGGTTTCGTGCCGTGCCGAGTGGCTCGTCTCCACTCACCTTAAGCATGTTGTGCCTCGAGGGAAAAAGGGAAATTTTCACCTTCGTGCACATGGTGCTTCACCCCAAAATATAAATGTGGTTTTCACATTTATCGAGGAAAGCAATTACAAGCGCGTTCCCTAACGACTTTATCAAGACGGAAAGCATGGCGACCGAGGGGAATTCGGGGATTCCACTCCGAGGGCGTATTCGACCCGAGAGTTCGCGTTCGCGGAGATGCGAACGTCGGGGATTCCTTCGTCGACGGCGGGGATTCCAGGAAGGCGGACGGGGGATTCCAGGAAGGGCAGAGACCCTCGGGTGTGATTTTGTTGGGGTTGCGTGTCTGCGGTGATTCCATCACGGCCGGGCAAATGAGGAACCGGACTCAGACCTGTTATTACATTCCCTCCGTGCTCGCTCCTATATTACTCACCGTGTTTATAAATAAATATCCCGAGATACGCGCATGCATACCGAACTCCCCTCCTTGCATTTCTTCGCCTTCGCGCTTTCCCAGGCTCCGGAGGTTACAGAACGGGGGGAGATGCCCGACGGACACGAGGGCGACAAAAACGGGGGAAAGAGGTAATCGAAACCATGAAATTGCGTCGGGAAACGTCGCACGAAAAAATATTACACGAGGTACGCGACAATGTATATATTATATACATATATATTATCGTAGGGATTGGAATAAAAAAGAATTGGACTGCTTTGAGGCACCCTGTACGGTAAGTGCGTCGAAAATTGGCAGCATTTGCGGCGAACCTAGAGGTTATCGAAGATAGGAATCGCAACGGCTTAATGGCAAGTGCGAACGAGAGAGGAATATATTCAATAGAGGGAATGGAGACGGGATGACGGGTCGAACGATCGCGTTCCGAGCAAATGCGTTCCTACCGTTTGGAATTTTCCTTGGAAAATTTTGGCGACGCGAAGTGTTGCCCGTGAAGAGGTCCGCAGATGTGCAGATGTAGGCCCCTCGGATGGGGGCCCCTCGGATGTGGCCCCCTCTGCACGATATAAGGGGCTCCGGGGTCCTCCCATACGGAGGGGAAGGGGAATTAGAGGGACAGGGACAAATGCGGAATTCGCATGGCAGCCAGTCGTTGGACCCCGACTGAGAAATCGCCACCGAAAATTATTATTAATTAACGCCGGCTCATTCCGTGCAGGGAGCTCCGCCGCATACGTACGTGCGTTCCGGTGACCGTCCGGTAACCGCACGGTTACCGTCAGGTAGCGTCCGAGTCGGGTGACACGACCGAGCGGTTAGCGTTTCGACACGGACTTTCATCGATACGAGACCTCGACGAACAGTCGATAATTACCGCTGCCGGTCTAATGGGTCTCTAATTAATGAGAAGGGAATAATTGATGGGGAATCGATGCTCGGGTCCCGTTGAACCGGCGGCGCTATTTTCTCACACGTCACCATGGGAAACGAGCGAGATGAGAAAATATGCCGCTTTGATCGGGGTGAGGGTGCACTCGGGTGTCACCACCGATTGGGTCCACTGACCTCTCGCGGTGCCACCCTCGTCATCCGCCCTTCCTTCCTTTATTCATCCACGCTCATATTTTCCTTTCCTGTTTTTGTCTTTTTTTTTTATACATGATATTCCGTCGTCGAGGAGGGATGCACCTAGAGGAATCGACCGATAAAATCAGATATTTCACCCCTTTGGATGAAGGATACAAGGAGATTTCCCATTTTTACATCCGGGATATTTTTACTTGCCTTTAGTTAAGGTCACTCAGCGATAATCGATGCCGCAAAAAGGTGAATTTGCTTATTCTCGAAGAGGCAATTTTGACTTAACTGGTTTTCCCCTACGTGCAAGGGCAGGTGCCACACGACACACCCCGTCTATAACGATCCGGTACGGAATGCAATATGCATGAACCGGAATACGGACGTGATTTATGCGTCCTCCCACGCCGCTGTCTCCTCCATATCTGCTAATTCAGGGACGAAATTGTTCCAAGGGAAAATGAGGCACTTCCCGCACATCCCTCCCCAAGTCATTTACAGCGTCGTGTATGGAAGAGTTGTCATCTCCCCTCCGAGAGATACATAGTGACCCTAATTTATTTACCCCTCTTTCCCCTTCTCTTCCTTCGGATGTGGCGACGTGGAAAATCCAGCCGAAACAGGCAGGATAGGTAACGAAGAAAGTGGGCATGTTCCGTCGACCTATTTCAGATTTAGGCACGAGCCACCATTTCACTCGTCCAAACTCAGGCACGCGCAAGAAACTAATTATAAGAATAAAAAATAAAAAAGAGAAAATTTCGGACAACCCTGAGGGCAAGGTAACACCTGTCCGCGGTTCGTCTGCTTCGGCAAACACGAAAAGGGGAAAAGGATTTTTTTTTTTTACAAGACTGAACAAATTTGTTTTCCTCTCTTAGTGGATTTTTTGTTGTTCCATGCGTCGTTTCCCCTGCGCTCATGCATGATCAGGGGAAATCTGTAAGGGTAAGTGCAAGGAAATAATCATTTCGGGAACGGGGATTCTCCATGTGCATCGAAGATCTCAAGGATTCTCCTCCCGTTTCTTTTCAAGTCGGTTACGAATGAACACGAAATCCATATAGCAAATTCTAATTCGAAAAAAAATTGTAATCAAAGGGGGAATTTGGTATTAAAATGCTTAAAATGAAGAATGAACTCATCCCAGTTAGTGGTACGGAGATTGTTGGGATTTCCTCGCAAAAAAAATGGAATGGGACCCGTCCTTGATGGAGATGCAGGGATGCAGGAAGTGAAAAGATGGGATTATGATCCGGAAGTGGACCGCACCCTGTCACGCCCGGATTCCCTCCCCTCAATTCCCCTTCCCTCTCGTACTGCATATGCACCTGCTGCTGAATCGTCTACCTCCGGTATACCGAATGCAAGAGTAAAAAAGTCGAGCTGAAGTTTTTTCGCAAAACACGTGTGTATATGTAAGCGTGAACGCGATGCTGCACCACGCGTTCACGCCTTCACGCCCACGAAAAGGGGAAAAAATTAATCTCTTGCCGGGGTTTCGTCTAGATCATCACTTCTTTATTCAGGATGGGAGAAACCAAGTTTCTGATCTGGATCGAAGAAGGAAAAAGGGACAAGAACGGGTTGCTTCGTGCCTACAAACCGAATTCCCTTCGTCTCCACATTTCCCTCTATATATGTACACACACGAGGGGGGAAAATTTGCACACGAAAAAGTGGCAAGGTCGCCAAGCGCAAAGAAACTCCGTCTTCGTTTCGTTCGTCTTTGGTGAGGGGAACGACAGAACGGAAAAAATAATATATACAGGGAACACAACGTCTATGTAAAAATCACCGTGGGAACTTACATTCTCTGTAACTTAAGAGAAACACAGAGTGGATGGAAAAAGGAATTGGCACATGATGGGATGATAATCCTTGGAGAAAATTCCTGCACGGAGAAGGCCAGCAGCCGAGTTCCTCATTCATACAATACTCAACACGTCATACTTCTTTTTCCTTAATATATATAATTATACAGTATCCACGAAGCCTACCGATACGATATCACAGGCGGAAAAACCCTAGAATTGATGATGGGAAAGGGAGGAAACTCGACACGACCGACTCGACCGGGACCAGGGTTACCATTAATGTCGTCAACGAAAACAGGGTTGCCTTTGTCACCACTAAAAAAACAAGCCTTTCAACAAGTAACATTTAACAAGATGTCAGATAGAGAAAGAGAGAAAGAGAGAAAAGGGGCATCACAAGACCTATGCTTTACACCCAGCTCTACTACTTTTGGTGATTCCGAAGGGTCACACTCACGAATACACAGAGAAGTTAGAAAGAAAAACGGGAGGTACAGAATTTCCGCCTCGTATCCTCACATGTGGGTGAGAGGGACGCTGGCAGCCGGAGCCGTCAGAGTGTCCGGAGAGTTGCTAGCGTATTGCGTCGGAGTGAGGCCACGTTGCAGATTCGGATCGGTTGGCAGATACATGGAAATCATCTGCCTGAGATCCCCCGAGTTGGGCGGGGGGTTGTAGTCCCGGTGGTAGTCCTTCACGGTCCCGGAGGGCGGGGTGGGCGTCTGGTTCCCCGACGTCCCCGTGGGACTACCCTCGTTCTTGATCATCATCCCCTGGGAGGAGTATGGGGAACCGGCCTGGTTATAAGCGTATGCCGGATTCCCGTTACCCCCGCCGTTCATGTACGAGGAGGACGTCGGAGAGGTGCTGGCCGTCGGCACCTGGGAGTGGGACGTCCCGTACATCCCCATGTCGTAGCGGTAGGCCGACATGGGGCTGTAGTAACCCCCCTGATCGTGGTGCATCATTCCCGGGTACCCGTTGGGCATGTACCCGTTCGGCATCTGGGCGTACATGTCCCGTGGGATCTGATGAGAAGCGTTTGCGTTGTTCCCCGCATTCCCCGCCGCCGACAACAGGGTGCTCCCGACGCTTCCGAGCGGCGGGTACTTATCTTTCTTCAACAAGGTCTTCGTCTTCCGGCGGGGACGGTACTTGTAATCCGGGTGCTCCTTCATGTGCACCGCTCGCAATCTGGAGTTACAAAGAAAATGGAAAACGTGAGGGCCGAGAACGTACCATGCAAAACTTATTCAGAAAATCTAGCAGCTAGACATAATTACAGGAGCATCACTGTTGAACATTTCGAGAATGTCACATGTAATTAGAGCGTCTAGAATGTCAAACGTAAAAACATGAGCAAGATTATGACTATGGATACGAGTATAAAAGGAGATATAATTAGACGCAAATGAGCATTGGCTCATAATCACAAAATACTTTTCGAGATTCTCAAGTTATCTGTTGATCCTTGATCACAAGTTGATCCTATTCAGATCAGGTCTTGAATGCACAGGCCATTTCATCGCATTCAAATGAACTAATTTGTATCGATCTCAAGAAGACGACCATAAAACATCGATTGGATACCCTCTTGGTGTAAGACCGTCCCATTCCATGAGTTTACACCGATTTCGAATGGCTGAATCCTGGATTCGACCCAACTCGGTCTTAATACAACACCAACAGCAGGTCCAGCAAATTTCAACAGCACCTTCACCCTGGACTCTCTTTAAAACGGGAAACCACGTCTAGTGTGGTGTGCAAGCCATATACTCATGGCAGCAGAAAGCCATTTGCACGTAATTCGGTAACTGCAATTCCACTTCGCGTTGATCCACGAAGAGAATGCTGGTTCGAGGCGCATGTCTTCACCCTCTCATCGGAAATTTACTAGTATATCTATTTTTTTATTTATTGCATTAAAATTATTATTTTTTACATTGAATTGATTCAAACCCGATTCTTCAATCAGGGATCATCGAAGGTGGGAAAAGAAAATCGGGGCAACCTGGCCAGCTGGGCGCGAGGCGGCGAGGCTTGGGAACCGTCCAGGTCGGGGAGAAAAGAAGAGAGGAATGCAGGGGAAATTGATGGGAAAGAGAGAGGACGGGTAAACATCAGCTGCCTACTACTATGCCTATGCCTATAGTGCCTCTATGGGACCTCTGGGGACGAGAGGAACGAGAGAAAATTCCGGTAGAGAGAGAGGGGCTGACATCTGCCTCTGCCTCTGGGGGTGTCCCTTCTCCACGGGGGGGCACCCAGGACACCCAAATTCTCTGCCCCTTTTTCCTCCCTAGCGCTAGCCAGCTCGGCTCCCATCAGAATCAAAGCGAGGGAGAGAAATGGAATAGAGAGCTTTGGTGACTGTATTTGTCACCGAATCCAGGTGCAATTTCAGACTTCTCCAACGGTGTGTCATGGGGTATTCCGAACGGACTTGGAATTACCATTGGATCTGGATGTGGATTGGAAATGCCAAGATACCCCTCGGGAATGGTACTAGTACAGCAAGGCTTAGAGTAAATAGGCTTTTAGGATTCCCTCACCGTTTCGCCTCGTCGATGAACGGTCTCTTCTCGACCTCGGATAGAAGTTTCCACTCGGCCCCGAGACGTTTGCTAATCTCAGAATTGTGCATCTTCGGGTTCTCCTGTGCCATCTTCCGTCGCTGGCCCCGGGACCAGACCATGAAGGCGTTCATCGGCCGCTTCACCCGGTCGTCGTACTTGTTCGCCGCCGCCGAGCCCTTACCGTTCGGGCCGCCGTGGTGGCCACCGTTGCTCGCGTTGCTGTTCGCCGTCGTCGTGATGGGGGTGGTGCCCAGGTGATGCTGGGCCGAATGGATACCCGAGCTTGGGGGGGTAGGGGGCGTCGGACCTCCCGTCGGAGACATCTAAAAAACGACACATCCAAACTGAATTCTCACGATGAAATCGCTTTCCGATATGCGAGGTTGTAATTGAAAAAGGAAAATCTTTTTCGGATGCGGAATCAAGCGTTTCCCAATCGATAAGGGAAGGTGAAAGTGGGGCACGTGTGGATAAGCCAGTCAGATAAGCCTGAGCAGCATCTACTATCACCCCGATCTCACCGAGATTAGACACATTTTGAGGGAAACGGGGGGGAGGGAAACGCACACAGAACAAACAGGTTTCCCCCCTTATTTTGCACCTTTCCTAGTCGTGGAAAGATCTCTCACCTGATGATGACTAGGAGGTACGACGGAGGAGGGGGAAGACGTTACGGGGTGATGCAGGGGCTGATGCATGGAATGGTGTACATGGTGCCCCGGCGTGTACGCAGGGTGCCCTCCAAGGCTCCCCAGGCTCGGCATCGCATGAGGCGACATCAAGTGCGCTGCACCTATCCAATCCAACCAAAGAAAAAAGTCAGGAACCAGCAAACCACATGACAAAAACCTTTAAAGTCCAAGCACGTGGTCGCAAATCTTCCATGGAGTCTCAATGACTGACCGAGAGAATGAATGAACGAACGAATGAATGAAGGAAGGTCATTGAATGCAGGTCAATGGGAGAGTGTAAGCTTTTGTTTAGCTGACAATAGGTCAATAGAACCTGCATGCTCGTGAATGCAACCGAAAGCATCTTCCCCCCTCCTCCATGCACTCAATGACGCCATTATCATGTCTCTACCTCTCACTTTCGGATGCCCTTCAGTTCTTTCCTGTTTCTTCAGTCTAAATTCACAGAAATCGCCGGTGATTAGCTTTAAAAAAAAACTGCTGCTTTCAATGTTGAAACAAAGAACGGCATGAGAAAATTACTTCAAATTGAGAATGACATTCCCCTAACTTGTCTGCGTCGCATGATTGGGATGTCATAACAATCTTTTTATAATAAACAAATTGGCAATAGCTCGTATTTGGACATTACCGACGAGTGCTATTGAATTAGCCACACATTGTTGACACCACTGGGGGATATAATGAAGTGGTGCGGCAGCACGCAGGATTTAGAGGGGTGGAAACATACTGTCAGCCTCTTGGCCATTATGCCTAGAATTGATTTTATGCGCCCAATCACTCTTGCAGGTGGGAAACATAAACTCAGTCGAAGCTCAGGCTCAATGCAGGGGTTATAGGGAAAAGGTGTAGGGGTTATTTTTGGCGAAAAGAAATCCGAAAAGTGTGGGGTTGATGGTAGCTAACTCGGACGGGCAGAGATTGAACAGTGCTGAATCTCACAGTTAAGGTCTTACGGTTATACTTTTCAGGCATGGACTTAGGCATGGATCAATGATATCTTCGCATCGAAGCAAATGTGCTTTACTCATGGCTAAGGTTCGAGACTTTCCAATCCACCTCACTCAACTTATTGCAGAATCGGGTGCAGAATGCATTCAGTGTTTGGTTTTCGCGAGTTTCAAATAGGAATTGCTGAGTGTTTGGCTCATGCAATTTCAAGATAAGATGTTTTCAGTAAGGGCATAAAAATAAATGTTCAATGAGTATGGTTGATGTTAGTGCCAAAACTACAGATGATCGATTCTCGTGATCCCTGATATTTCACCACACAGAACTTCAGTACAAAGAAATTGATGGAGTGTGCCTGTCAGAAAGCGCTGGTTCTTGTGATTTTCTGCCATATTTTCCAAGGGAACAAAAAAATCCTAATTTTCTTACCAGTCACAGCAAGACCCACTTTTTCAGCCATCCTGGTTGAGTCCTGCGCTGCACCAACTTCGCGGCACGAATGTATCGAATTGAGACTGGGTCAGGAGAATACGGATAGAGATCCCTAACGAACGAAATGGATGATGCGACGAAATTATGGATTTTCTTACAGGGGGCAGGCCGGAAGATGGTATTAGATGGGATACCGTTGGACCGTGTCCAAGCATGCACCAGATTCTCGCCTTAATCCCGTCCTCCCTGCATTCCTACATGCTCTACGCGGCGAAGAGGAACAAAATCTTTTTTTTCCCCCTCGTTGCTCGTACCTACGAGAGTCATTTACACAGGTGCTCCGGGATATTGACTCGACGTCGAGAAACGGACAGATGTCGGGCGCTTTGCTAGGCAAACACACTCCACCGCATTCTGCTCTCGAGGAACACGATCTAGAACAAGCCGGGACTCACTCTTGAGGTCGGACTCCATGGTGAGCATGTTTGGGGACGGGGGCTGTCGGTTGTAGGCAACTCCCGCGGCCGAGGAGAGCCACTGGGAATACGCGGAATCGCTCTGGGAACACAGGGTGGCGGCCGTCGGGGCAACGCGCTAAAAGGCTGGGACTTCGACGCCGGGATCACCGTCGCCAAGGATCTGGATCTTTGTTTCTTCGCTCACGAAATCCTCGTCGTCGGGCACATGGGTTCAAAAGATTCACCCGCAACAACTCGATCGATGGCTTTTCTGACTTCTTTTTCTCGTCTTCTTTTTCTCCTTTTTCAATGGAGCCCTTTTGAAAGCTCTTGCTATTCACTTTATACACACATACACTGAAGAGATGTGCAGGTCTCTCTTCCACACAACACACAACGTTATTGTCCGCTTTTCAATGCTTTTCTACTCTATTCTCCCCTCCTCGCTGGGCTACTGTTGGCCCTCCAACGTATTGATTGGAAGCCAACGGATCCCCTCCGGCTCCACCAATGGGATCGCGCCGCGGGACACGGAGGAGGCGGGGCCTCTCGCGCTCTCCACCAATCGCGTGCCCTCCTCGCCTCCCGCCCTTCTCCGTCCATTCTCCAGCGAGACTAGGACAACTTCCAAATTCCTTCAAATTTACTCGAAACGTGAGTTTGTTAAAGGGCGGGATTAGGAGTAGTAAAGGGGGTGAATGGGATCGTGAAGGCGGTCCCATTGTCGGGACCGGTCCATTGTATGATAAGAATAAAAAAAAGCCAATATCCACACACAAAGCGCGTCCATTCAGATAATTGGTCTGAATAGGGTGGAAGTTGAATGGGAACCGAAACTTGGCTGCATAATGGCCTCTCAATGCTTCCTTATCATGCTCAATTGGAGAGGGAGAGAAGAAAAAAAGTCACGGCATGCATGGACACAGGTGACAGTGCAAGTGAACACGTTTAAAATCCCTCCCATGTATCAATGCCCATTCACGACTAATCTGGGTATTATGTCATACAATCACCCTAGTCACTCATTCACTCTCTCCATTAACCAGACTCTATAAAAGGGAAAACCCCCCCCCCCCCCCTCATAGAAAGAAATACGTCTGACTCACCAGAGAGAATGCAGGTCATCAACCAGTTTCATGTGACGACACCTAAAAAAAAATAAGATATATAATTTATAAATCGGAATGCGGGACCACGGAACAGATAAATGGATGGTTGGATGGAACGTGTAATTACAGACTGGTAGCTTGATCTTTCAATTTGTCCCGGGTAATAGCCACCTAGTTGAGGGGGGCATCTATTGTTCACACCCGTTATAAGGTTTTTATGGGATTTCTTCGCCTCGGGCCCAGGCAGGTGCAGCCCCGGCTGATATTTATTCCACGTCTTTGTTTATTCTTTTACCTCCTCCTCCCCCCTCTCTTTCTGAATCATTTGCAATCTACTTTCGTCTCGTTGCACTCCTCCCCCGGCAAGGAGGAGACGGTTTTGCGCAACATTGATTTCTCCCTCATATTTTTCATTTCCTCTGGAGAAATAGCCAGGGGCTATATTATTTTATATTATTTATTCTAAGCTTTAAATATTACTTATTCTGTCACTGTTGTGGAGTCCACGGCCTGTTGAAGTGCATTAAGATATCCCATAGAATACGAAATAGCATATACTGCGCTGTCCCCCCAAATATTCTTCGCGAATGCCGATTTGTAGGGGGAAATTTAAGGGATATCCTGGACAAAATTCCAGCGGAAAGCCCAACCAGCAAAGGAATTAGGAACGGCTTAAACGCGGATAATCTCTGGGGAAGATGTTCTCGGATGACGGCCGATCGTTATCGGCTAAACGGCCCAAAACGGAGCCAAAATCGGCGCAGATGGACATTCTTCGGCAGGGGAAGATCCAAGACGATCCGAGCAGACCTTCTACACCCTCGACAGACCCTCTGCAGATAAGGGTGCCCACTAACAAGGCACCCCGGGGTGAGCCTGTCCAGTTCCAACATCTCTCCTGATAATCTCTCCCTCCCCCCCCCTCCTCCTACACCTGGGCCGCGAAATAATCAGTGTGAAGGAGTCCAAATCGTAATTGCAAGAGTGGATGGGAGGCGAGATGGAGAAGCCATTAGCAGTGAAAACAAGGCCATCTTCCCCTTTTCCCATCGATTTCCTCGGGGTCCAAAATAAAAACTTTTTCCTCCACCGTGTGCAGCATAGGAATGCACTGCAGGGAGGGGAAAGAGGCTCAGGGCGGCTTCATTTGCATATGAAAGAAATCTCTCTTTGGGCGTGGATGCGAAAAAGAGAGAGAGAAATTTCCCCTTCTCCACGATGGGAGGGCCGTGGGAATTCCCTTTTCTTCCCGATCGGTGACCCAACATTAATTTTTTCGGCCCGATCGGTGACCCAATCTTAAACTTTTTCGGCCCGATCTCGAAGTTGAGGGAAACCTCAGTTTGCCGACGGGATATCGGAATCCAATGGGTCTACATAGAATCCCACAGACCTATATAGAAGCTTATAGGTCTATAGAGAAGGCTATGGGTCTATGTCTAAGCCTGAAGCACGTGTCAGGGCCCTCCCCTCGAAATTGAAGTGCAGAGCAAACCGAAGGGAATGTCTAAACCGTCGCCTCTTTTTTTTTTCATGGACTTCCTCCCTCTCTCGCGTGTAGTATCTTTACAATATGTGCTGGTCAAATAATTGTCTTTCCAGGGGCGGAGAGGGGCTAGGGAGGCGAAGGGGGCAAGGTGTCATGTGTCTCTTTTTGCCTCCCCTCCGGACGGGAAATGGAATTACGAGGCCGTGTTTTCGGACTCCTTCATTCGATTATGCAGTGAGAAAAGAGTCGTGATTGGGGGGCCGGAACTCCATGGAATTCCCCTCCAGGACTCCATGGAATTCCCTCCCCATTGACTTCTCTCGATTCGCCGGGAATTCGATTTTCGTCGTTTTTGTATCCGTCGGGTGACACAAACCTCTCGACTCCGTGCAGCTGTCCTCGTTGCACTTCGCCCGGATTCCCCTCGAAATTATGTCCGCACGAAGAGATAAAACGGAGGAGGAAATGAGGCATTAGGGAGAGTCCTCCCACGCCCCGCCGACGAGTTATTGAGGCCAATTATGTTCCTCAGGGCCCCCGTCTCGGCGTCTTTTCGGTCGGGCGAGGAAATCGCGTTTCGACACTCTTCCCTCCACATGCCTACATTTCCACAGCCGCACGACAAGCGAATTCCACGACGTGGATCTCTGCAGTCCCACGGCTGGCGAACGAGACTCGTCCGAATGGGGTCCAAATCGCCACGCGTCGGAAAAAAAGCCGTCGGCACCCGAGAAGTCTTTTGTCGATATAACAAACAGTTCGAAGTCACGTTACTGTCACGTTCTGCTAGTGAATCATCCGAGAATTCACCATTATGCAGAGCACTCCACAGAGTCGATCGTTATAATGATACCTGGCGTAACGTGTAGTACCGTTACTTGCCATTTAGAGTACCACGGCGTAATTTCCTGTCCTCGCGGCAGGGAAGCCAAACTTATCGCTCCTGCAAGGTGAATTTATTGCTGCCATGGTATAATCATCACATTATGCGGTTCTAGTTATAAACCGGTCCACGATCCTAGATTCCTTAACTTGGGGGGATAAAGCCACGCGATGGGACGGCGGACCACTTTTCCACCGAAAACTCGAGAGAAAGCACGTGACGCACATCCTTGACGCGAGGACATCCTTGACGCAAGGAAAATCCTTGACGCAAGGCACATCCTGCAGAGTAAAGGGGACCCGCGCCCCTCCCGATTCCTCCTCCTCTAACACCTGGGCCAACAACGTGATGTCACCTTCAACATCAACACACCATGCATTACATCAATCACACGCGGGATGATCCTAGAAAAATCGATACGTAGTGAACGGAAGGAGCCCTTACGTTTATTGGGATAGAGCTTATTATCATGAGCATTTCGAGGCATGGCTCCTTTGCTGCAGTGAAAACGTTTGGTTCTAGGAGCACCAAAGAGAAGACCCAGAAATAATTTTTTGCATGCATCACGTGTTAATGGAACCGAAAAAGTTTTCCAACGTGCAAGTAGCACCGAGACACGTTGCATAATCTCCGAAAATCCGCCTCGGAACCCATTATGAACTTTGTTAAAAGAAACTCGACGAGCCAAATCCCCATTCCATTCTTCTGTGGCTCCTGATGGGATTTCCACGTTCTTAAGGCATGCGATAGCTTCCCGAATTCCCGAGTCAAAAAGTATCGCGACACCTTCGCGAGGAGACGATTCTGGATTTGAAAAATATATATATCCTCATATTTCCTTAAACAGGTTGGGACATAACGGCATCATAACTAGATGCTGAGTTTGCCTGTAAAATAAACGATATCTAGCAACAAAGGAAAAAGTTGTGTCATGGTTGTGTTTAAAATGCCTTGTGGAATAAGTCTCGAGCCCAGCTATACATGAATGAGTCCTCTTGGGTCCTCGGCTCGAGTAGCAACAGATGTACTCGGAAGTACTCGAAAGGAGTACTCAAGAAGGCAGAATATTTTATTAATTCTTTTTTTTTACATACATAATATATTTATATCTATATTTACTTCTACCCGCTCGGGTTCGATACGAGTTTCACCCAACTCGACGAGCGAGCACGCCACCTGGCACCACGGTCACCTGGCACTACGGTCACCAGGCACCACGGTCCCCCGCCTCGTCGGACGTGATCCATCCCGCGAGACTCGCCGCACATGTCCCCGCGTCCCCGCGTTTCCCACGTCGTTGTGCATCCGGCGACGATGACATAACGGGGCGCGCTGCTCGTCTCATTCCGGTTGTCTCGGCTGGAATGAGCCGCGCTTTGTCGCCGTCGACGAATCGTGAGAACGCGACGAGATGTGAAAATATTCCTCGGGGCCCCATGCACGGTTCATCACATATCTCGGGGGGTGAGAGAGAGAGAGAGAGAGAGAGGGCTCCATAGAAATCCTCTCTAATGGGTCATCAATCATGGAGGCATAAAAGCAGGGATGAATTGATGGTCTGTTCAAGGAAGAGACTCCGCCAGGACCTGTTTGGTCGATATATTTCCCTTCCTCCTCCTACACTTTGCTCCTTTTTTTCTTTTCTTCCCTCCACGCCGTACCATATAATATGAAGGCTCATTTATTATCGACTTGACCGATGCGTTCGAAAGGGCCGGTCGAGGTCCTCATCTCGATTTTTCTTTCAGTATTTTTTGTATTAATACTTTTCTTTTTTTTTCTGCAAAGTCGTCAGGTCCGAAGATGAGTCGGCAGGCGAGAAAAGAAATATAAAAAAGGCTAAGCGAATGCGAGGCATAATATCGCAGGGATGCATTAGCGGTTAATTAAGAGCTGTCAAAGCCACTTAAGAGGGGGGGGGGGCAGAGGGGGGACAGAGGGGGGGACAGAGGGGGGTCATCCCTTCCGGAAATGGATGGACCACTCTCCACGTCCGTTTTTATCCTCGCACGTGGACTTAGCTCGTTGCCCTCTCTCTCCGCTCCTCGCACTCGCAAACGATAATCATAATAATAAACACGTTTCCATATGGTACCGAAGATCTGGAGAGGAGACAAAAAAGAGAGAGAACTATGGGAAATGCAGTAGGGGGAGGACGGGACGCGTGCCAGGTGTCGATAAACGAGGGGGTGCAGGTGCCGGCTGCTCCGTCGAGTTTCCTTCGCGATTCCACGCACCTTCGCCCCCTTCCGTTTCCCGCGGCGGGAAGCGGACCGACGGCGGGCGCGATCGGCAAGGGAATGCGACGTTACGGGGCTCTCACGAAATCGGATGCCGATCGTGTCCCCAAGGCGGCTTCGTTTCGGAACATTCATCATCCGACAGAGACGACGATCGGACACCGACGTCTCCCCCTAGGGAAGGCATTCGAGCACCGACGCCTCCCCGTGGAAATCAAATTTGGACGCCGACATCTTCCCACGGGGAGAACATTCTGGCACCTACGCGTCCCCGTGGAAAGGAGTGGGGACACCTACATGTGACTCGAGACGTGGAATTGTGGCCGGCTTCACGCTCCATGTGCCCCTACGTATCCTACAGATGCCTCTGCTGAAGCTCGTCGAGCCGACATCGCCGCGAGTCCATTTTTTTCCCCCATTCTCCCGACGATTGAGGAACTTGGAAGGCGTCCAGTCCTTTCCACACCTCGGGACGCTCTCGCGGATTTCCCGAGAAAGGAGCGGGGACGCCCGGACGCGGCCCGGCCCACGGTTCCGGCAGGTACGACGAATGCATGCGAGATTCGTGGCGGCCGTGACTCCGCGCCGACAGGCGTTCCAGGCGTGACAGGAATCGGAAGGGGGAAGGGAGCGAGAGGGAAACAGACTCACGGAAAATGGACTCGCCGCCAAAAGGGTCCGGTACTCGTAAGTACCTGCGAAACGGTACTTACCCTCGGGAAGTGACGCGAATAGCATCGGGGTGGTCCCCCTTTCCGGTATTTTCCTCGAGGACCCCGCTCCATTCGGATCCGATTCCTCGAAATGTTACATTTTCGCCTCGACGGCTGCAAAGCCGGAATGTAGGACAGAGCAGGGTGGAAGGGAAAAAAAGTAAATGCAGTCGCTGCAGCATGCAGCGGAAGGGAGGACCCCATAGAGAAATGCACGAGGGACGACACGACCAGCCGAGCACAAAATTGAGTCTCATTCCCCGCGTATATACGAGAATAATTATGATCGCCCGGTGAGGACGATAACGATTCCGAGATATTCCGTGTCTTCGGCACGGAGCTTCGAGGAGCGACGAAAAGCGACTCCATTACCCTAGGTTGGGAATGAGTGATAAGGTCTTTTGCCAATCCCCTCTGGGATATTCGCACACTCTTCCTTTAAATTGAATCCCCTCTAATCTGGACGAGGGGATCTCCCCCTTCCCTCTCGAGTATTACAGGCACACACTCCTAGGTGGGGAAAAAAAAGAGGGAAAATACATAGAAGCCAAGCTCCTGTCTAACGCCATCGCCCGTGTATCGTCCGTGTATCGTCCGTGTATCGTCCGTGTATCGTCCGTGTATCTCCCATGTATCGCCTGTGCCTCCGATGGTCCATAAAAGCCGGGACGACTCGGCTTGGAATTTTTATTGCTGCTGCCTGGGAGTTCCTTCCAAGAAAACAAGATTGAAAGAAAAAAAAAGAGAGAAGCCCTCGGCAGCGACGCTATCGCGACGTTATCGCGGACGGATCCAGCCGCTCATTTCCGCCTCTCCGACAAATTCAATTTTATCTCCCTTCGAAATTGAAATTTATGGATTTCAATGGAGGAGTCGGAAATGAAGCCTTCTCAAAAGCAGGGAGGAAATAGAGAACTGCCCATTCTTGAATTTTTTTTTACAAGTTTGACCGATTTTTTTTTATCTTTTTTTAAACGAGACTGAGCCGTCATGCGAAGCTTTTTCGACGCGACTTGGAAAGAGGGCGGCGGGTGTCTCTTGACCTGCTAAAAGGAATGTTTTTACCACCTCGGTACATGAACCCGGTCGTAAAAGCCCCCGGGGCTTTTTTTTTTCTTTCTTCCTCCTCTCCCACGTTGACGTCATCTAGTTATGGCCCGACACGCTCGGATGAACTGGGACCGGGACACGCGTTCGCGGACCGGGGAATACGTTCGCCGAACGGTATATGCGATCGCGGACGGGGACATGCGTTTGCGGATCGGGACATGCGATCGCGGACGGGGACATACGATCGCAAACGGGAACGTGCGTTTGCCGAACGGGACAACCGTTCCGTTCACCGGGGACTTCTACTTTTTTCCCCGTCTCATCCGGGAAGAGATTTATTCCAAATATCGAGGTTTGTTTCCACGGGAGACTCCATAAAAAGAAGAAAACAAGATTGGAAGCGAATCCAATTAAGAGAAAAGGGAGTCGTTTTGTATTATGGAGGAGCAATTGGAGTTTTACGACCTTTTTCTCGGATTCCTCCCTAGGGACACGCGTCCTCCGTTGTTTTACACCCCAGAAATGCCGACGGCTTCCATTTTCTTTTAGGCACGTGAAGATAGAAGACCGCACACCTACTTCGTTAGGTAGAGAGAGCATGCGGAAGGGGAGTTATGCATACCTAATAGAATTCAGATGCCCCGGTTCTCACGCTTCAATGGACAAATCTCTCTCTCTCTTCTCCCTCCTCGATTGAAAATAATAATAAGAACCCGTCCCCTCCAGTCACCACGGTTGCTCCGTCCCCCCCCCCCCCTCGAACTTGGAATAAATACAGCCACATGGAGTTTCATTTCACTCGTGCGCAGCAATCATCGTAATTGTATTTACAGCAAGTTATCGCGAAACATGGATGAGAAATGGCACTTCGCGAAATCGTCCATTATAAATCGCGTGACCGCTAGGTTAAACACATCCTCGCGACAGCTAATCGAAAATTGCAATAAATTAAGTTGCGCGGTGTTTGCTTCGTTTCCCCTTCGTATTCCCTTTCGATTCCCCAGCGAGGAGCGCGAGAAATAATTGGGGAAATGAAGGATGTTGTCGTCGGGATCGGGCAACCCTGGGGGTGCAGATTCCATTGAAAAGAACTTCCTTTGTGGATATTTCAAGTCGGCTTGACAGATTGTGGGCTCTGGGGAATGTGATATGGAAGAGATCCCGGAATCCCAAGAATGCAAACCTCGGGGATCCACTTGCCACTTTCATTAAAAATCCCCTCTAGTGCCAAAAAAAGGGGGGGGAAATTGTAAACCCTTCGCGAGATGACGGCTAGGATTTTCCGGTGAGAAGAATCTCGTCGTCCGGTCTTCTAACCCAAATAAATAGTACATTTCCCACGTCTTCATCTCATTTTCCCAAGAAGGGAATATTTCTCATATTTTTATATTTTATTATTTACTTTGATTTTTATTTTTATAAAATAAAAATTATTTTTCGCAGACTTTTAAGAGAAAATAATACTTCCGGGCAACAAGTTTTGT